TAATGTGCAAGCTTTATAAACTACACAAACATTAATAAATTAAATAGATAAGGTCAACTTCATTAACTCTTAATGAGTTTAAATTACTAATACTTGGCTGGCCTAGCTAACAAATTCTTATTAACAAATTAGAATTAGATGAACATAAGCCACAGTTTGCTCACATGAACTACTGCTCTGAACTATATATGAATTACTTGCATAAATACGTTTATTGAGTAATTGAAGTTGACATAATCATAGAAAATTTAGGAATGATCCACTTCACTAAGAAAAAACCATATCATAAAAGACTATGTGCATTTCTAATTGAATTTAGCAAACTTTATTAATTTGGAGGTTATTTGATAACTATTTCATTTTCAGTTTTTAGTATTTTACTTGCCGTTTTCACTATTTTTAATATTTTAAAACTAAAATCATTTAAAAAAATTGAAACTGAAAATCAAAAAGTGAAAACTTAAGGCCAAATTTTGAAAACTAGAAACTAGTTTTCAATTTTTATTCTTTTTGAAAACTGAAAGTAGTTACAAAATAATATTTCAATTTCAATTTAAAAAATGAAAACAAATACTGAAAGTAAAATGATTATCAAACAACCAAAGTAAATAATTTAATGTCACAAAAAGAAAAAATTTAGGTGCCCGAGTGAAAATCTCCGCTACACAAACCGATACCCTACATGTCATAATACATATTGATATAAACGAATGAAATATATACTCTCCTTTTGTCATACTTGTCTTGCAAGATATGTAAGGCGTCAACTGTCCCCAGGTAATCCGGGTAGCCTATAAAAGATCCCGACTCAACTGCACTTTGCCGAGTCCAATTTGAAGCATTGCCCAATCCCCTTTTTATTTTTTAATTTATTGGAAAAATATTAATAGTTTAAATCAGCTTGAAAGCAACAAGAGGGGGCACACAAATAGCGTGCACTTTGCCGCTCCAAAACTCCCCAAGTCAAAATCGTCATGTTTGACTGGTCAACCCGAAAATGCCAAAAAGCTGGCGACGCTTCTTATGCCATTTTATTTTATGTTTGCAGCGTCAAATGTCGAAACTACCCTTTTCTCCAACACCTGGACGGCTGCAAGACAGACGGCAATTAGCTTTTTGTTTATCAGAACGAATTTTGCTCTTTTGGAATAAAAGGACAAAGAAAGAAATGCCAAATCACATCTTGCTGATAAAAAAAGTAAAGAAAGATAAAATTACCTCTCTACCCATATATACTTCAAATGCTTCATCAGCAGAGGGGCAATTATGCCATTTCAGTAACTCTTGTAGCCAAGATGCAATTATAGGATAATGCTAAGAATATTAAATTTGTAAATAAATTTTGAAAACTAATAGACATGGAAGTTGATGATTGGTTTATACTTAGATAAACATGCTCATTCTTATTGGTGACATCTCATTTATTTTACAGAATTTGTCTCTAAAATTAGGCTCCCTTACATTACTCGCAATTATGTCGTGTTTATGTGTGCTCTACAAGATGCTACATTGCATCATGTATTATAATATTAAAAAGAGTAATGCTATGTCAATCAAATTTTTAAAATCAAATTTAAAAACTAAATGATATGTTACAAAAAAAAACACATTAACAACAATTGGATAATAATTCAATCATTAACAACCACATCACTTTATTTACAAAATTTAATTTATAATTTGATCTACCTTGCATTATCCTTTTCTTTTTCTATTTTTTATATAATGCTTTTTTGTTTTTTGTCAAATTAATATGACGATATGAGAGTGGAGATTTGTGCTATAGATCAATAATAAATTTGGTATTGAACTCGTCATCTAAAGATATTGAATCAAATCTCACTCTTACAAGTACAAATGAATACTTGTAGTATTAGTGGCATCGATTTTTTATTTTTTTTAGTTTAGAGAAAATTAACTAGTATTTAGAAACAATACACTATATTTTATTTATTTTCCTATAAATGTTATTGGCACATCAAAATTGTTACCATGCACACTATCTTTACAAACAAGAGAGACAATTTTCACAAAGAAATGCAAAGTGCATGATACTATTTCTAAAGTATCAATAACAACTCTATTTATTTTTTGTATTCATTCTTTTCATACGACCAATATGCTTTTTTTTTTTTTAAAAAAATAAATTATCAAGAGTATAATGATTAAGATAACAACGCTTGAAGTAATGTACACTATTCAATTTTAATTTGGATTACATTAGAGGGTTTCGAACACTAGATCTAACATATTTTTACTCATTGTCTAACTCACATTTACCACGGAGCTAATTGCATGTAGACTACGAAGTCTACGTTAGCATAACTAATTGGCTTTTCTTATTGTAAGGAGACCACAAAGAAACAGGGTATTACTCCTAACTGATGTCTGGTGCACAATAAAATGCTCTAAGCTAGTTTTTCATAATTAATATGCATTAAAGACATGCTCATAATTTATTAATTTTTGTGATACAACTAAAAATCAACAAGTCTACCATTCGACTAGCACCCGAACTGATAAGTGTATCAAAAGACATGCATTATATATTTTATCCAAATACTAAGTGCATAAGTTTCCATCCTCCTTTAGGGTGATTTGAACTTATATAGGACTTGCATTTTCTCTTAGAATTTCTTATGACCCCTTCTTGGTTCACAACACATCTTCTTTATATATATTTATAATATATATATATATATATATATATATCAAGACTCAAGATAAAAAATACGAATCTTAATATAGGAGATCGTTTGGAAGTGTTTTTAAAATTGCTGAAAACTTTTTGATGGAAATGTTTTTGGAACCAATATTTAGTAAAAATGCAAGTAAATCCTTAAAAAACACTTAAAATGCTTTTTGGAAAAGCACATTACTATTGTTTCTTGTAGAAAGTACTTTACATACTTTTAAAACTTCAAAAATATTTTTCCTGAAAACGCTTTCATTCATTTTAAAAATATTTCAAACGAGTCCTAAATTATTAGAAGACAAGAAAGACAAAATTTCGTTTTGACAAATATCATATTTTAGAGTACTACGTACCCACCACAATCATATTACACAAATTAAATATGAGATTTATTTTTCCTCGAACAAATTAATCATGAGCATATACAGCTAAGACATACCAAACAAAATATAGGAAAAATTAATTACATGCCTAATTATTGTTATTGCCTCAATAATTTCCATTAGCTTTATTAATTATTTCCATCATACCTTCATCTTCTTTGTCAGCTTGACTACATCATCTCCGTATTACTTTTCCATCAAGTCTTAATTTTATCTTGTAACTATAATTTTCTTCATGAAGGATAAAACTTTTTTTTTTTCACTTAATTATTAATACATATTATTTCTGTGCCTGAACGCTTGTATAGAATATTAGACACAAATATATGAATAAAGAGTGTGAGACCTAAATACAAGAAAAGTACGACACTTTATGTATGCGGTCTGATAATAACGTGACTTGGATGTTCGTATTTGAGAATAATTTTTTATTTAAAATGATCTATGAGATTTGCACAACTTTTTACTTTAGTCTCTGAGATTTGAAATTGATTGAAGTGGTTCATGAGTTTGTTCACCATTAATAATTTTGGTTATTCTGTGAAAAATTTATGTTAAATAAAGACTAAATTACAAAATACCCCATTTAATAAAAAAAAAGGTTTGAAAACTTTAAGTTTTAACGATAAGGACAAAATAAAGGGTAAAGTGAATAGTACCAAGATTGACTTTTTCGAGTAAAAATGTGGTTTTTCGTTAAAGTGAATAGTACTGGGAGTTTTTCATTAAAGTTCCCTTGTTTTAATCCCATATTGACAAGGTTAGTAAATAAGAAAAACCGAGATTTTATTACGGAAAAATCAAAGTGATCGATGGAAGACAAACTCAAAGACCAATTTTATCGATTTTAAATCTTAATAACGAAAGTGAAGAGTTATCCACTAGGTAATGAGGTGTAATTAGAGAAAGGGTAGTCTAGCAATTAAGAAAAGAAGCTAGGGTAATTTTAAAAGATGAAATGGTCAGCACGTGGGCCGACACGCTAAGCATTCTCCTTCTCGTTAAGTACAACTACTGTTGAAAGAAAAAAGAATAATGTTTATTTCTTAAAACAAATTTTATATCGTGCTTAATTTATACAATATTTTGGTTTGTGAATTAGACCAAATGATATATTATTAATAAAAAATAAATATGTTAATTGATGTATAATTAATAATCCAATAAGAAACACTTACATCATTTAATTTATAAATTTAATTTAAAAAATTTAGTATCCTTAAAAGAAAAAGGAAAACACTGATATTTATGGAGACATGGCTCAATTCAATTGGGTATGCTTATCCACAGAAGACCTTCTAGAAGCCAACCAGAAACTTAGTGAGAACGACTAAAATATGGCATAATTTAAACTCCGTTTATCTGCCAAAAAACAAAAAAAAATGAAAACTCCGTATATACCCTGGCCTGCCACTTTACACAAATACGTTTCAAGGGTAATTTGGTCTATGAGAAAAGAATAATAGTACCATTTTGTAATTATGACAACTGGTTAGGGGCATTGTTTGAGATAATTTTAATTTTGTTTACAATATTTTAGGAAACAACAAAGCTCTCCCCTTCCGGAATCTGGACCTCCTCTTCTTTCTGTGCCTATTCAACTGTGTATTAAGAGAGAGAAAGAGATAGAGGCGCTAGAGAGAGAAGGAGAGAGAGAGAGAGAGAGAGAGAGAGAGGCTAGAGAGAGAAGGGGAGAGAGAGAGAGAGGTTAGGAGGGAAGTCTCTGCGACAGAGGCTGGACCCTTTCTCTGTCCTTCTGTCTCTATTCCACCAATCCGCCAAATGGTGGCTCTCACGCGCTGAAATTCCCCTTCTCATCTTCTTCTTCAATTCCAAACCCCAAAACCCTCTCTCCTCATTTCCTTAAATCCCATCTCTCGTTTCAAATTCTGGTCATCTTCCAAAAATTTTCTCAATTCAATTGGGCTACAGAGCAATTCGGATCTTGACCTCAAAAACCCATCTCTTGATTTTGCCCTAAAACCTCAGATCTCGAGTTTTCGATTCGAATTCTGACACGATTGTGGCTCCCAGACCGATCTTTCACAGATGGGTAATTGCTGTGTGACCCCCCAGACGGGTTCGCCGTTGAAGGACAAGAAGAACAGGAAGAATCCATTTGCGATTAACTACGTTGCCGGCCATGGAAATGGTGGCTCCAAGCTCTCTGTGCTGAAAGACCCAACTGGCGTTGAAATCGAGCAGAGATACGAACTGGGTCGGGAGCTCGGCCGCGGAGAGTTCGGAATTACCTACCTTTGCACCGATAAGGGCTCCGGCGAGACGTTTGCTTGTAAATCGATTTCGAAGAAGAAGCTGAAGACAGCTGTGGATATAGAGGATGTGAGGAGAGAAGTTGAGATCATGAAGCATTTGCCTAAGCATCCCAACATAGTGACCTTGAAAGACACCTATGAGGATGACCAGGCTGTCCATCTTGTTATGGAGCTCTGTGAGGGTGGTGAGCTCTTCGATCGAATCGTGTCGAGAGGCCACTACACAGAGCGTGCGGCTGCCGCCGTCACGAAGACGATTGTTGAAGTTGTTCAGGTGAGGGTTTTGGTGGTTTCTTGTGATCTGTTGGATTGGTGATTAATTGGATCTTGTGAGGGTATAGATTTTATTTTAGTACTTGTTTACTAGTGATAGACTTTGATTAAATCTAGATCTGATTGAAATTTTGATCATTTGTTTAATTCTTTGATGAGTATATTCCATTTTCATTGTATTGGTGGTCAAATTGCAGTTGTCGAGTTGTGGTGAATTGATTCTTTTGTACATTTTGTATGTATAGAATCGATTTTTTGTTCCCCAAGATTATTCTTTGAGGAATCAACCTTTAGATTGTTCCCTGCAATGATTTTAATGCGTTTAATTCTCCTGCAGATGTGCCACAAGCACGGTGTGATGCATCGGGATCTCAAACCCGAGAACTTTTTATTTGGAAACAAGAAGGAAACAGCACCTTTAAAGGCAATCGATTTTGGGTTGTCCGTGTTCTTTAAACCTGGTAAAGTCCTCTCCAAAACTATTGACATTTGATTGTTCTTGCTCTGATTAGTTTACTAATAATTTTTTATTTCATGTGTTTCCAGGTGAAGTATTTAGTGAAATTGTTGGAAGTCCCTATTACATGGCTCCTGAGGTGCTTAAACGCAACTATGGTCCTGAAGTTGATGTGTGGAGTGCTGGAGTTATACTATATATCTTACTTTGCGGTGTTCCACCATTTTGGGCAGGTTTGTGTGTGTTTGTATATGTGCGTGTCTATTTAAATGTCACCATTTTGGATTTCAGACCCTTTGAAATGAATTGCTTACTTTTCTTCTATTGAATTCTGATTTACTTGCTGGCTTTCCTATGCTAGCATTTCTGACAATTTCTGACTTGAATCTATTATCTTGCTGCAGAAACTGAACAAGGAGTTGCACAAGCAATTATCCGGTCTGTTGTAGATTTTAAGAGGGACCCCTGGCCTCTGGTTTCTGATAATGCGAAAGACCTTGTGAAGAAGATGCTTAATCCTGATCCAAAGCGGAGGCTTACAGCCCAGGAAGTTCTAGGTAATGTTCAGTTCTGCCGACGGTTATCATTATTGTTTATCATTATAAAGAGACTTTTGTTGCTTGAAGAATTTGGAAAGTGCAAAACATAATATTATGAACGTACATCTTATTCTTGCTTCTTTAAGTGCAGATCATCCTTGGTTGCAAAATGCAAAGAAAGCTCCAAATGTTTCTTTAGGTGAAACTGTTCGGTCAAGGCTCAAGCAATTCTCTATCATGAACAAGCTCAAGAAAAGTGCTCTCAAGGTAGTCTTCCAAAGATTTATGTTGGATAATTTTTTTCATAACCTTTCAGGCTGGTTTGGTATTGCTGTGCTTTAAAAAAAACTGCTTCTACTGTGCTGTGAGAATAAGCTTATTTTTGCTGCTTCACGTTTTCAGCATTTTTTCATCCAAAACTGTGAAAATAAGCTGTTTTTAAGTGTTTACCAAACATCTTTTTGAGCTCAGCTTTTTTTGATACCCACTTTTTATAAAAGCACCTCAGTACCAAACCAGTACTGCATCTCATTTGTGTGTTCTATTGTATGTGTGATATGTATGTGTCCTCAGTTACTAATGGTTTCTTTTGGTTCTTTTGGAATTTTTAAATTAACAGGTTATAGCTGAGTTTTTGTCGATGGAGGAAGTTGCTGGCATACAGGAAGGATTTAAGCTCATGGATATTAACAACAAGGGCAAGATTAACATTGACGAGTTAAGAGTTGGGTTACATAAACTTGGCCATCAGATTCCTGATGGGGATCTTCATATTATGATGGAAGCTGTAAGTATTATCTTGTATTAGTGTAAGGTTTACTATGTTAGAGGATTAATTAGTTATGACCTGTGGTTTAATAATAATCTATATGCATGTTCGACTCAAAGAATCTGAAACCTTCTTGCTTGAATGACTCTGTGCATTGCGTTACATTTTAAAGATCCGTATAATGCTACATATGATAATAAGAGGGGGTTCTTTTCTCTTAAACAGGGTGATGTAGATAACGATGGATATCTGGACTATGGAGAATTTGTAGCCATCTCTGTTCACCTAAGAAGGATGGGCAATGATGAGGAGCACCTTCGCAAAGCATTTGAATTCTTCGACCAAAACCAGAGTGGGTATATTGAAATTGAAGAGTTGCGAAATGCCTTGAGAAATGAAGTTGATGACAACATTGAAGATGTAATCAATGCCATTATTTTTGACGTAGATACGGACAAGGTCAGTCAGATTGCATGTTAAATCTATAACCGACACACGTCGACCATTTTTCTAATTTTATCTTAATGGGAGTCTTGTTGCAAATCTGCATATGAACCAGAACCTTGAATTTTTCTTGTTGTAGTATTTGCTTAGAATCCACACTGAATCCTTTCCATGATTGCAGGATGGACGAATAAGTTATGAGGAGTTTGCCGCAATGATGAAGGCCGGGACAGATTGGAGGAAAGCATCAAGGCAGTATTCGCGAGACCGGTTCAATAGTCTCAGTTTGAAATTGATAAGGGATGGATCGTTGGAAGGTAAAACGGAGAGTACGTAACGTTGGAGGATTGACTCACGGTACTTGTGGGGAGGATGCATATTAAGGAAACAATCTTTCATTTTTTTTTTTTTTGTGTTATGTAATTCTTGTTCCATTTTTTTGTTGTTTTTAGACCGATTTGTGATTATTACTAGGACATGGGCCAAGGGTGTTCGTGTCTTGGTGAATGGTGATGCATGTAACGTATTTGTTGTAAGGGTTGGGTGGGGGAAAGAGTAGGTTGGAAAACAAGCTCATCGTGATTGTAAATATGTTACAAATTGGGACGCATATTTTCATCAAAAGTCATTGTTTGGTGTGAGTTTATGAGAATCATACATATTCGAATTAAGGGCTAGTTTGAAAAGTTCTTTTAAATAATTGAAAGCGTATTTCAAAAATTATTTTTGGATTTCAAAAGCATTTGCAGTATTTCCTGTAAGAAGCCCATGATTGGTGCCTTCAGTCATGTGCTTTTTTATGATTAACTTGTATTTTTACTAATACTATGTTTGGATGAGGGAAATAAACATAGAATTTTGGTAAAAGTTAGAATTTATAAATTGACAGACATCAATTCTTTTGTTTGGATTCATAAATATAGAAATTTACACTATGTTTGGATGAGGGAAATAAACATAGAATTTTGGTAAAAGTTAGAATTTATAAATTGACAGGCACCAATTCTCTTGTTTGGATTCATAAACATAGAAATTTAGAATTTCCACGTGGAAAAAAAACTTGGAATTTAGGACCTCCAAATCCTAAGTTCAAATTCCATGTAAATAGGTGTCATTTCTCAATTTCTATGATTGATAGTTTAAAAACAACAAATTCCGTATTCAATTCCATTGTTATTCTAGGTTAACCAAACAAAAAAATTTACAAATTCTAGAAAATAAAATCTCGTCATTTCAATTTCTGTCATTTTTAAATTCTTTTGTAATCTTAAATTTCTTCACCCAAACATAGTGTAAGGGTTGTTATGAAAAACATTTTTTTCAAAAGCGCTTTTAGTCATTTAAAAACACTTTCTAAAGGAGCTCTAGTTCTTTGGGAAGCAAATGATATGAAATTACTGATACAAGGAATTACAAGTTGAGGACATGTGCTATGGTTTGAGCAGTTGAGGATTATGCGAGTCAAACTACACATCAAGCTTAATCATACAAAGCATATTGACTAAGCAACCAACTATTCTCGTCCGCTCAGAGCGATTGACATTTGACGAAAACCAAGCTCCCGCCCCCGTCTGTACGCCTAACCCCGAACCACTTGAATTAACTTACCAAACCGGCAATTTGATAAATCCTTGGCGCCCAAGGCACCTGTTTCTTGAATTAATAGATTATTTAAGTTCCATTTTCTAATTATAATTTCTTTCATAAAAATTATTTTTATTTTTTGTTTGTTTAAAGAATGAGGGATTTGGTAATACTATGACTTCTAATTCGCTGATAATCGAACATTTTACTTAACTTACAAGTGAAGAGAATACGTCTAGTACATGCGCTAATTAAACCATACCACCCGCGTTAAAAGGATTAATTCTGGGATATTTGAAATATTCATCAGTGACAGTGAGTGAGAGGCTGAGAGCCATGGAGATGGCAACCTGCAGATTCCACAGCTCCTACTTCTCCCTCCCAAACCCTAACACCAACAACCCTAGAATTACTAGACTTTCCTCTCCTATTCCATTCTCCAAGCAACTCTTCGTCTTCACCTTAACCTTCTTCCTCAACCGCCAAAACCACCACACTCAAACTCCGCTCCCGGAACCCGAAACGCTTCTCCGATCGGCCGCCAATCAAATGCTCCGTCTCCGAAGCCACTGAAGCCGCAGCCACCGCAGCAGGTACTTTTGCTTCTTCTTCTTCTCTTGCAATCTTTCATTTCTATGTTTCTGTTCGTTCTTTTCATGTTTCCTGCATCAATTACATATTTAAAGCTAATAGGTTTCAGAATTTATCTTCGACATAGTCTCGTAGCGGTAGAGGTTGTTTACTTGCTGGATTTGTTGATTGGGTGTGTGTGTTGGTTGGGAATGGGTAAGATTAGTCTGATAGGGAACTGGGTTATTGTCTTAGAGAGGAGTAAGTTGATGAGGAGAAGTAACATAAGGAACATACCTGGACCTGCTATTGACAGAGATGATGTAAACACTCGGTTGTCGGACGTGAGGTATGCCTATGAAGTAATTTCTATAGATGTCTACTGTCTCATACCATGATAACTTCCCCAATTGCTTAAGTTTTCCCTTATGGTGTATGTATGAACAAGCGAAAGAGGCGAACCTGTCTAGGATATTCGTAACAATTCAATGATCTGCATTTGGAAAGTACAGTCCTTGCATTAATAGGGGTCTCTTTCGATGGAAGTCAAGAGGGATCACATGTAGCTCACTCACTGCAGTCGTTGATCCCACCTCTTCACTTGTTAGGTCTCTCTTTTCCTGGATCTTTTTAAAAACACAACAAATTTGAAATCACTTTATCTAGTTATGATTAAATAAATAGGCGAATAGAGTACTGAAATATAGATGATGATAACACAAATGGGCAAGCAATTTTCAAATTTTCTGTTTTTTTTTTTTCCTCTCTAGGGATGATTCTTAGATGGGAGTCTAGAATTTAGACAGTTCAGATAGCCCAGACCATTTTGCAAATTGGCACCAACGATGCACCCTTTTAGTTCTCCTCGGAAGGATCCCTATTCCGAGGGGCCTTTGTAACCATATGAGGTGATTGTTTTGAACTTTTATTGTTTCTGATCTTTAGGAAAACAGTGGAGGGTATAGATAGTTACTGTCACGGTTGAAGACCAATACGTCTGCTCCATTTTGAACGAATTGGAATCAAAATAAGGCACATTGTCATATTACTTAAAACTAATAGTAAATGTAGTGCTTCTTTCATAAGAACTGTGATGGCGTGGTTCGTACAAAATTACAAATATAGAAACTGTATTGCCAAATGCTTAACTTTTCTTTTCTTGAGGCAAATATCCTTACGAGTTACGGATCATACCAGTCGTCTGATATCAGTCATTTCTATCATTTGGATTGCTTGCACATCGCCACTGTGGAGGTGCCAGTAGAACATACAGGCCCTGTTGTTGAGCTTCTTGGCAAAAGTTGGGGCAGATTTGATATGCAAGGAGTGGGGTGTGTAGAAGCTTCCTGCTTTTATTTTCATTTTTAACTGATCATCAATTCAACGTAAATGCATAAAGTAGAATCAGAAGCGATACTAGCATGATAATATTTAGAGCATACTATGCAACAAAAGTGTGCACAATGTAATACTTAGATTTATAGATAAATATATACTGTAAATGTTTAAACATGAGTTGCCAACTATATGCATCTGCTTGTGCAGGTGAAATTTCTCTGCACACTCACATATTCCCCTGTACACATATCGAGCGTTATTTGACCTTACACCTGAACATCCAGCCCATAATATTTCTCTGCACACTCACAATTGCTTGTCCTGTTGCTCTCTAATATAATAATAATATGCACATGTCTGGCTGTGAAATGATTACGAGTATGAAACCAAAAGAACATTGGCTTGGCTAATACTGTCATTTTGTTTGTCTGATTATGGCTAGTGACAGTTATTACTTGAATTTTCTGCTTAGAAAATGCATCATTTTATCTGATTATCTCAACTTTATGTATACACTAGGTTGGAAGCCACAACCTTCCTCAAACAACGAGAATACACATTTCTCTTCAATGACTGGCCTCAGCTCCTCCAACTCTCAACTGGGTCCAAAAATCTCATTCTGGGTCAGGCAATTCATGCATTTTTACTCAAATGTGGCTGCCAGAATGACACATTTCAGGGCAACAATCTTGTCAACTTGTACTCGAAATTCAAAAGACTGGATGATGGACATCACCTTTTCGATGAAATGCCTCTTAGAAGCACAATCACTTGGACTTCTCTCATGAAGGGATACTCTGACATTGGTGACTTTGAATCTGTCTTCCACATTGCGCAGGATATGTTTCGCAGCAACGAGAAGTTTAACGAGCGTACATGCTCGGTGATTTTGGAAGCATGTAGTTCACTTGAAGACCGGACAAGTGGGGAACAGTTTCACGGTTTTGCTGTAAAAAGAGAAGAATGTTTTTTGCGGCCACTTCTTTGGTTTCTATGTACTCTAGAATTGGCTTCTTGGGTGGCGCAGAGAAAGTGTTCAATGACATGGATTACAAAGATGTTCAGTGTTTAAATTATGTTGTTTTGGAATATGGGAAGGCAGGCTGTGGAGAGAAAGCAATTGTGGTCTTTATACATCTTCTGAGTTCTGGCTTAGAGCCAAACGATTGTACTTTTACAAATTTGATTAACGCTTGCGATGGAGGTGTGGGTGCAGATGAATGCTTGCAATTACATGGACTTGCTGTCAAATATGGTATTATGGGTGAAACTTCTGTTGGAAATGCAGTAATTACCATGTATGGAAAGCACTGGATGGTTGAAGAAGCTGAGGCAATGTTTTATTTACTGGGTGAGAGAAACTTAATTTCTTGGACCGTGCTTCTGTCAATGAATGTTAAAAGGGGCTGTGATGATATGGCCCTCGATGCTTTCTTAAAAATACTCGATCGAGGTATTTGTGTTGATTCTAGCTGTTTTTGTACTGTGCTTGATGCCTGTTCAGAGTGCAGAAATCTGGAATTGGGATGTCAGATCCATGCATTTTGCATAAAGCTTGATTTTGTCTCTTGCGTCAATGTTGGCTTTGAGTTGATTGACATGTACGCGAAATGTGGGAGCCTTCAATCTGCAAGACAGGTTTTTGATGACCTTTCAGGTTAAAACACCGCTTCATTTAATGCAGTACTTGTTGGATTTATGGAACCACATAGAGATGTTGAAGAGGATTCCATGGTCTTATTTAGTCAGTTAAGATCTTCTGGTATGAATCCAGATTTCATAACGTATTCACGGCTCCTTAATGTAGCAGCTGAAGAAGCTTGCTTAGAAAGGGGGAAGAGTCTCCATGCTTGCATTATTAAAGCTGGATTTGAAGCCAATTCCACTGCAGCTAATGCTGTAATTACCATGTATGCCAAATGTGGTAGCATTGAAGAAGCTTATCAAATGTTCAATGGTATGAATAGTCGTGATTGTGTATCCTGGAACGCCATAATTTTGGCGCATGCCCTTCATGGAGAAGGCAACAAAGCACCTTCACTTTTTAAATCAATGAAGGAAGAAGGATTTGGCCCAGATGAGATCACGTTATTGGCTACTCTTCAAGCTTGCAGTTACGCTGGACTATGGGAAACTGGGTAACGCTTATTCAACGAAATGGTGCCAAAGTATGGAACTGAGTCAGGAATTGAGCACTTTGTATGCACGGTGGATCTTCTGGGGCGGTCTGGGAATTTTTCAGAAGCCATCGATTTCATCAACAAAAGTCCATTTCCAGATTCACCTATGCTTTGGAGAACTTTAGTCAACGTGAATTTGAATTATGGCATGTTATCCTCAAAACGTTTGCTTGACTTGCAACGTGAAGAGGCTGGGTCTTACATACTTGTTTCAAATATGCATGCTCGAGGAGGAATGTTTGATGAGGCTGCAAAGGTTCGAACCCTTATGAATGACTTGAAAATGAATAAAGAAGCAGGATGCAGTTGGATTGAAGTCGGTAATAGATTTCATTATTTTGTTGCAAGTGATATGGACCATCCAAAAAGTGCTGAAATTTATGCAGAACTCGATCTATTAAAGGTTTTAATAAAACAAAACCGTGATGATAGATGTGATCTCCCTCTGATTTGAGAGTTGATATCTGCGTATTAACAAATCAGTCGTCTTCGTCCTTTGAGATTTTCCACAAATATAACTCGTACAATTCATTGCTCATGAAGCGCATGCAACTTGATCGCTTCGCTTAGATGGAGATGTCAATGGAGATGCAGGGTATCAGTCAAGGAGCTTCCATTTCTGTAAGTGGTCCTCTTTTTCTTGAAACGGACATGGAATGTGCTTACGTTTTAATTTTCTGTTATACGACATGAGGATAAGATTAGTAAGAGAATGCAAGCTAACATATGAATATATCATCCACTGCTTGATTGTAAAAGTTCAACATTGTGATGGCAGTATGTAAATAAACACATGCCATATCTTAATGCACACAATTTTGTCTTGTAAATGGTACCTGAATTTCAATTAGAGATCCCGGTGTGTGGCAATGTTCAGGCCCTATTAGAGAAGTAATCCGTTTTGTTTACCTGTGCAGACTCTGGTATTTTTGCATTTTCTTGTTGGTTGTGAGATAAACATCTCTAGGCTTTTTATCCAAAATAGTACTTGAGATTAGGATAACTCTTCACTGGTCCCTGAGATTTGAACTCGATAGAGTGGTCCCTGAGTTTGTCTACCGTCAATTATTTTGGTCATTCTGTGAAAAATCTCTGTGAATAAGGCCAAAATGACAAAAATACCCTCAAAATTTGTCAAATCATTTTGGCCAATTGTTTAATAATGAGGGTATTTTTTATCGTTTTGGTCCTATCTAACATAATTTTTTTTCATATGATGACCAAAATGACTGATGGTAGACAACCTTATGGACCACTTCTATTGATATCAAATCTTAAGAACCAAAGTGAGAAGTTATGTCAATCTCAGGAACCATTTTGGTTAAAAAGTCAAATCTCAAATTGAAAGTTTGAAAGTTCAAACTTTGTATTCAATAAAATGATCGAAATAGAAGAGCTACTTCTATATTTCGGTGTGAGAGTTATAATCTACTTTAGTGCATACTACACAAATAGGAAGTAGCATCTATCTTGCCTTTTTGTTAGCCAAAACTAAATCGTAGAGCCTTAAACTCCTAGTCATAAAGATGAAATGGGGGCCAATGCAAGAAAGTATTTTCTATGCAGTGCAACCTCTAAAGGGAGATTTTTGAAGATCTCCTTTGTTTGAACCTTGTAGGGAAGATCTTTCTTGTTGGCCTTTTTTTGTACCAAACAAATAATACGTTGAAGGTTGGTGATACATCATTTTCAGAGTTTCGAAACTTTGGACATTGTTAACACATTGGAGAATACTAAATGGTCCAGGTTCGTTGTCACGGACTGAAGACATAATGCTTTATACTGTTAAAATCTTTTTCTTTTGCTTTTGAAGCTGGTGTCGCATTTTTATTAACAGAAGTGCTTTCATGCTTGTACAGTATGTCGTAATTCCAGGCACTCAGCAAACTTTCATTTATTGATTTTGACTCGAACAGTATTCTGTGGGTGCTTAAAGTCCTTATTGTAATAGAGGATTATAAAGTATGTGGGTACCAAAACGTCCTAGGTCAGAAGGCACCTTCACGCCTGTCTTTAAAAAGTTAGGTTGATTATGTTAAGGACGTCGCCATTTCTTTTTGGTCCTCTGATCGGATTTGAATCTTCCCACTTACGATTAACAAACATTTATTATCCCCGTGTTATAATCGGAATCGTTCATTCTCTTTTTTATCATTTGAAGATCATATATGCAAAAAATTGTTCAATTTGACGATTTTTTAGCCATCCATATGCTGAAACAAATGGACAGATCATCATGAGGATGTTACTTGTCACTAAAACTGTTGATTTGTTTAACACATACAGATGACTAAATGGTCTCCAAATTGAATGATTTTTTTGCAGATATAATCTTTAGGTGGTGATAAATAGAATGAACGGTTCCGATTATGATATTCGAACGACAAATGTTCGTTAATTGTAAGTGGGAGGACAAGTCCATGGAGGACACATGCATTATCCTTCAAACAATATATGACTTTGATACTTGCTTAGTCACAAACTCACAAGCCCAAGATATTAGGCTCGGGAATACGAAATTAGTGCAAATTATCATTCCATTCCATAATTGGAAAATAAAATACACCAAATTACGCTTAGGAAATTATATGCAGTACGACATCAAACACTATATAACTCCCGAGTCCTGCCCAAGAATAAGAAAACTGTACAAGGCTCGACGTCGTTTCACTAACAAATCCATCCCAACATCCCAACACACTGACCACACTAAAAAAAATACGCATCAACCAAAAGCACTCAAAATTTATAGTTGCTAGATTTCTCTGACTTCACTGCCCCATTTCATACAGGGTGCCTTTGTTCAAAAGGGAAAGGCCCTTGTATACGAGGACTATGGGGCACTTATTTTCCCTAACCATTTTCCTTTTTGGGGGTGGGGTGGTGGTGGTGGTTTGTTTCTGGGCATGGAATTTGGAATATTCCGATGGTAAGGGGGCTAAAAGAAGGACTTTTTGGCAGGTGCTCTTCCGACAGCTCTCATTAGATTGGCAATTTCAAGAACCCTAGCCACTTTCGTTCCCCTTTTAGCCTCTGCCGATGCCTTCCTCTCCTCTGCTTTCCTACGTGCTTTGGCTATGTCGTTTTGCATCTTCTCTAGGGCTCTTGCTCTCTTCTCCTCCAACTTCCTCTGCATGCTCACATTCATTAGATGATATATGTGGTGTTATAATGATTATTCATCTACACATTTTCTTCCAAAATTCACGGAAAACAGACACGAGTAAAAAGAGAAAAAAAAAACATAGAAAAATTGGCTAAAATGATCATAAATCAAACAACACTTGCTGAACTATCAAATTCAATGACATAACGATCAAAGATTGACGACATTGCTAAAAAATTTGTCAAGAGAAGTGAAAAAACGATCAATTTGGCCAGCTTCCCCAAAGAAGCTTCAAAGGCGTTGTATGCCATAAGACGGTGAAAAAGATGGAACATCTTTATTATTAAAGTTATCACTGTTTAATGATCCTGATTATGATTAGTTGTTTGATCGTGATTTGAAACATAGGCAAGGATAAAAATATTATTAAGACAATTTAGTTTCACCAAATAGAGAAGCTTCAATGTCCAAATATTGCTCATAAGATGATGATAATGAATATGACAGACGATGATCATGGTCATGACTAAATTTTTCATCACGGCATCCTCAAAGAATACTGAAAAATTGGCTAAAACGATTAGAAATCAAATCTCAATTACTGAACTGATCAAAATCAAATACTGACGATAATGATCAAATATTGACAATAAAGCGACCGCATATCGGCAAGATGCTAAAAACTGACGGGATTTGAAAAATAATCATTTCGGCCAATTTCTCAAGAATAATTGGACGGTAAATAGTATGAAGTCGCTGAAAAGGAAAGTGGTAAATCATCCTAGTTTCAACTAGTCAGAGAAACCATCATGGGAAATCAATTTCTCCAGCATGCACAAAAATATCACTATCCAAATCAGTTTTTTGGCAACGTACCTCAACTTTCTTCATCCATAAAGAAGCTTTCTGAACCTGCTCACTTTCCCACCCATTAATAATAGCATCCTCCCTCTTAAACCTGTTATTAAGCTTGGCAATCTTGTTGTTTTGCCAAGCCGATATCTTTGTTTCAACCTCTTCCTTCTTCACCCGATCCACCGAAACCATCTGATCGCCGCCGCTGCCTTCTTGGTGATCCCGAGTCCTCACCGTGCTTGATGAAGACCCAATATAGTTATTAGCCTGACTATTCCTTGGAGAGTAGGTAATCGGGTCCAAATGGTTGTAATTATCCGGGACTATAGCCAAATGGTTGCTCTCCAGCTCCTGCTCATGCATATTATTGTCCTCCTCTCCGATCCTACCCAAATTATTGTTCCCTTGATTAATCATAGTATTATGGTCACTATCATTTGTGGTACTATTATTTGTCCCGATTGCCGACCCTGCAACTACTAAAGCACTGAACTCTCTACTCATGGTGGTGAAGTCTGTTCCTAATTCAGCACTGGCCATGGACAAAGATGTTTGGCTACTGGTTTCCCAAGCTTCTCTTCTGCGGCCGCCGCCATTGGCGGGAGGCAGCGGGCGAGGCGGTGTCAAGGCATGGATGTCCCTGATGTTGTGCTCATCTTCACCATGATCGTCATGATGATCTTGTACTCCTTGGCTGGTGCCAGCCCTTGGATCATTCATATCAGAGGGTTTGAGTGTGTGTGTGCGTGTCAAGTGTTTGATTTGTGCAGAGAGAGTACTAGGATGGGTGGATCAACTGAGAAATTAAGAGTACCAAGGGCTTCTGAATTGTCTATTTTTGTTGCTCTTGAATGTTGACAATTAACGTGTAATTTGAGCCACACATGGAAGTAGATTGCAGACGTTTGAAGTGAAAGGCTCATAACGTTAATAACGACAAATTAGGGCTGTCAATTATCCCAATGAGATAAAAAGTGGCTTAGGCTTTTGATTATCTTTTTAAATCTATTTATTTATGTAGTTCCTTATGTTTAGCCTTATTCTTCTGTTGCCTCACCTTGTATTAGACTCTTTAATTTGTATCCTCTCCTTGAATATCGGCATCAACATGTACTAGTTAGCTGACCATGTGGGATTTGGCTTAGAAAAATAAAATGCGTAGCACTATTCTTTCACAAAAAGTTACAAAACTTGGGTGTCTAAGCACTTACTAGATGTCTAGTTAGTTGCATGTTGAATTATGATTGGGAATGATGATTGCACTTGAAGAAATAAAATGGTGATCCAATGCATGAGGCTTCCGCTATTTTATATTGAAGTCCTTTACTCACAAGGTTCTAGTTTAAAATGATAATAACAAGGATTGCTAAAACAAGTAGATACAATGGCTTCCTTGGAGAAATATATGATAAATTACTCCTGCTTGAAATATTCAAGTGCATCGTGTCGGTTGTTTATGTGGCTAGAGTTGTATATCGGCTCAAAACAATTTGAGCTTGCACTGGATTCGGCTCTTGTTTGGCTTGTCGAAGCTCAATTTATGAAAGAACCAAGCCAAGTTTGGTCGGGTCGGTTAAAAAACATGCTAAGCTTGAGCATTAGTATGTTAGGAATGTAAAACTCGTGAACAAAATTTTTCATGAGACAACTCAAGATAGGCTTGAGCTTGCCTCAGTCATCCAAGCTCGACAACTCTTGTGAAGTACCTTTCTAGAGGCCCAATTCGAACTAACTGAATTAATAAAACAAAGAAATAGCCGTATAGTACTATGGTCTAGTAGTATTTCTCTTTACTTGTAAGTGAGATGTTTTATGTTCAAATCTTGATAATGGTGAGTTCGTAACCAATTTATTTCTCCACCCTCTTAGTGTAAATATATCATTGTAATAAAATAAAATAAAATAAAAAACCTAGAAATGATAGTTTGATGGGTTTCTTCTTTCTGGTGGAAGTAAGTACAAATAGGGCTTCATGCATGGTTGCCGCTTAAAAAAACCCAAACCATATAACAACATAAGCATTGTCGTTCATTCTTTCCGGTGCTAGTACGCTTCAAAACATTTTAGAGATATAAACTTAATGATCTTATATATATACTAGTGTATACAAAAAACTATATCCTGTTCTATTTTTTATAGAATACTATATCATACTAGTGATTAGTGATTACTACAACACTATATTTAAAATACTTGATATTATTGTTAGCTCTTAAGCCTAAACCCTACCACGATATTGCAAAAAAAAAAAAAAAAAAAAAAGGGAAAATTAGGCGAACCAACTTACATTGGAAGTAGCTCGAAACAAATTGAGATCAGTATGGGGCTCGAATTTTTTGGTTCAAAACCAAGTCAAGCCAAACTTGGCCAAAATTAAACAAGTCAAACTTGAGCAAGGTGATCTTCAGTTTCGCTTAGCTCGTTTATAACTCTATGTGTGACAGATCTTTATTGGCGATGCTTGTTTCTTATGATGGTCGTGTACAACGATATATGAGATATTCGAATTTGAAGCATATTCTTCTTCGAGCTGTAGAAAAAATATTCAAAATATTACCAGTAAATTAAGAACTACGCTTTTCCTTTTTGGAATATAGAAGATATCTTACTATTTTTGGCAAATAAATATTTCTCTCCTCATATAACCTCGATACCAATAAAGTGATATTGCACTTTTGACCCCCGGGTAAAATGGTACGCCAAGTAGGGTGGGTAACTTGAAAAAGGAAAAAAAAAAAAAAAAAAAGGATGGCGACACGCGTTCAAACTTGAATGAAAAATTCCAAAGCTAGATATCCACTATTTCAACCCTTGTTAGAACTTAGAACTAGATAGTTAAGTGCAATAGTTCAACCTCTTCCAAGTTTGTAGAATATGGTGGAGGATGTGGGAGGGAGAAAAATCAAGGGGCACTAATGCAAAAAGTACACTTTAAAAACACCCTTTAACCAAATCTTTTTTTTTTTTTATTTGGAAACACCCTTTAACCAAATCTTTACCATATTCTCTTCGATTCGTAGTGTCGGCCGAAAGATTTATCTGAAAAAACAAAATAAAAAAGAAAAAAAAGAGAGATTCCCACAAATATAAGGAATTAGGTTAAGTGGGAGATGGACGATTCGGACGTTAATCACGCGTCGCGCTGTAACTATCAAGGTCTTGTTTTGGGATACACGTGGAACAAACTCAATGGAAGATGGACCCATTTGATGTGCAACGAAGGTTCCCTCCATGCAAGCGATGACGTCATACCACCATATCAAGGACACGTGTACGGTTGCCTATGAGATATTGATTTTAGGTTTTCCAGACACCCACGTCTCACGTGTTTTTAACACTTGATACTTGGTAGTCTACCATTATCTTTATAATGGTGACATGTAGGAAAAGATGAAATGTGCCTAGAATAATGTCCCTTTTTAGTCTTTTAATTTAAAATTTTGGGTAGGGTTTTGGCATCCAACTAGCTAGTAATGCCTAGGATTACAAATTGACTTTCTAGCAATGTATAAATTTGAGTTAGTATCAATGTAAAATTAATTAATCTAAACAAAATTATTATAGTGAAGGAAAGAATTTTATTTGCTATAGAAAAATTGTAGTTTTGATACCTTACAAAGGTAACTTGTTTAAAAAGATTGATCGGATAGAACTATTGTACCACCTAGAGGAAAGAAAAAACAATGAGTTACTAAGATATTCTTATACACAAAAAGAAAACACTTGAAACTGAATGAACAAAATATTCAAACATGGAAAGCATATCATGAGGGATAATCTATCGTTTTTGGCCAAGTGAGGAATGATATCTTGAGTATCGAGAGAGAGAGAGAGAGAGAGAGAGAGGTAGTTTTTATTTTATGATACCTGTTGGGTTAGTCTTGTATTTCACTTTATTTAGAATATCGACTACTGATATGGTTACAACCTTGCCAATATCATCCCTAGTATTGAGTGTCCATCTAATTTAACTTAAATTTCTTCTTCAATCTTGGATATACATAATGCTTCAGTTTAAGTTTTACCACACAAAAATTGTGAATCTAAATGGGTTTTATAGATAGATGATAAAACCGCAACTCAGTAGAATTGAAGACAATGAAAATTGAATATTATTTACCATAAACTGACATGCAAATTTAAATGCAAGAATGCAAATGAAGAGAATTCGCTTCATTGTGTTCAGCAAGGAAATAAATAGTGATGAAAACAAATTACGGGCAAAATCTATACGAAATGTTACAAACCATGATATAAATTATTGCATCAAAGTTGTATCCTAAAAGAAAATTCATACTTCTATATGAACCCATTGTATGATTTTTTGTATATACCTTGGTGGATTCATTCTCTGGATGAGTTTCTCATACTCATCATCCATATTATGCGAAAAGCTCATTCTAACTTCTGCAGCAAGTCACACAAAATAAATAAATAAATAAAATTAGACAAAAGGTTGAGAGAATAAAAAGGAATCAATTGGTATATGATTTGGATGAATGATGTTAATTTGTTTATATAAGTGAATTAGCTGTGTACCAGAATTCTTCTTAAGCTCAAGTTACAAATTTTATGCACATTATAGATATCTAGATTATGGAGAGTAGTAGCATACCTTGTAATATTTGCAAGCTGGACATGTCCATTGTGAACAGGGATATAATTTTTTTCTAAGGCATTGGAAAAAGTATATTGAAACTTGTAATCAGATAAAACTGTAATTATATGATAGAAAACCATACAGTACAAAGATTGGAAAAAAAAGAAGAAGCTGAACACAATTAGTCTTGAAAAAGACTTATTAGTCAAGAATGGTTAATAACTGAAAATACAAATCACCGATGGAATAATGAGGAAACATAAAGCAACCAAACTCGTATAGCATTAGGGTGAACTATGGTAATTTGTTGATATAACTGATCTACATCATTATATCTATTGGTTTTTCAGAAGAGAAAAAGATTTATTTTGCTTTTTCCAAATGGAGTCTATGTTAAATGAAGTATCATTGGTCGTTAAATTGTTGGTATTATACGGCGAATAAGCTGGAATAATTAGTTTGGACAACTAACTGGAAAGGTGCTTAAAAAATTTATTATACACTGAAACAGTTCTGATTGAGAAAATAATAAAATGTACTAACTAATTGAAACAAACTATTTGATTGTTTAGTTGCCACCATTGTTAACGAAATGATATGCATCATATTTCCATTGAACTGTTGTTTTCCTGTTTATATAACTCAGATTAACATGTGGTAGATAAGTTAAAAAATTTAACTAACCACCTTGTGTAAGAGCATTTTATTTTGTGTTGTATATAACATTGAAAATAGTGCGTTAATTTAATAAAAAACAACATATACATCAATATTGTAATATGTGTTTTTTGATTAAGAATTTTTATTTTAATGTGTGGAGGATTTTGGTACACAATGGGAAGATTTTCTATGTCAACTTTACTGAACACAAAGTATTTAACCAATAACTAATCTGTATTTGTGGAGGCATGTCCATGTATTTAACTGTAGTAAAAAATGAAGATCTATTTATACCGAACTTGATGAAATATGGTAATAAGCTGACCTTTGGAGGACCTGTAGTTGTTTAATACTAGTGTAACCTTGTGCCAACACAGAAAAACATAAAAGACAACAAATATAATAAAAAAGTGAGGGACAAAACAACCATTCAACTCTACAAATGCGAAAACAGCAAGAGAAACAGAGGAAA